GGTTCTACCCTGAAGATGGAGGCGATACATTCCTTCGAACCGTCAGTTAACACCACATATACATGGTGCCACATCCCAGAAGATTGATTTCTTCATAGTCACCACCGTGAAAACCTCAAATCTTACGTAGTTTATGCTATGTTTGTAAACAGTGTTTTTTGGCTGCCTCCCTCCTGCCATCTAAGGAAAAATTCTGGTTTCACCCATGAATGCGCTATATGGTGTATAAAAGTTAAAGTTGTGAGTTTTCCAACAATAATAAAAAGGTTAATATTTTATAAGTTGTGCAAAAGGGATTTTGGTTTGTATCCAGTACTTCAAGATGTCCACAAAACTACCACTTTGCTTACTAATGAATTACTACATGACTACACAAAGCTCTGAATGGAGTATAAAAAACAGAATTTTAAGACTTCCACAGTCTCTTAATTGTTCAGTTCTTGGCGCCTTAAATCATATTTATCAGCTGTAGAGATTATATTTATAAAATCAGTTGATGAATGGGAATGATATTGAAATACTTTCTCAGAATTTGTCATCAGATATTGATGAAACAACAAAAAAGGCTGTCAGCATAGCCAACCTTCCAGGTGCTTAACATTATATCACGAGAATGTAATTTATTGCATTCTTACTGTATTTTCATCATACACATGACTGTACATTTCAAATTTGTTTTAATCCTTTGAAATACAGTGGTTACTACATGTACCACCAGCATTAGCATTAAAAGACTCTGCATTCTGCCCACAAAGCATATTGATATGTTTTATATGATTCTCACAACAGACAGCGATTATTTCCCTAAACAGATTTAACTGGTTGGGCTTTGCCATGGAAATGTAATGTTGGTTGTACAGTTGTTTACAGAGGTGACTACCATCTTCTGGGATGTGATGCAATGCAGTATGGTAGATGTTCACTGTTCTGGATGAACATACTGTGTCAATCTTCTTGGCAGAAGATATTGTCATGTGTAGGATTGTACGCATGACGAAAATAACAGGTTCTAGCACTTCAGTTACAAATTCTCTTAATCACAGTTAATAAAGCGCTAAGCGGCCTCTGTAGTCTAGGGGTAACGTTCCCACCTCATGACTAAAGGTACGCAGGTTCAAACCCGGCGGAGGTCGTGAAAATTTTAAGGGCGGAAAAATTCAGGGACCAAGTCCTCCGGGAGGGACTTTAAGCCATGGGTCCCGTGTCGTAGCTTTACGGCACGTAAAAGAACCTCATGTCCCAAAGGGACCACTGAGCCAAATTCAGGACATTTCCCGCCCAACAGCATTCTCTAACACCTCTGGTAGATGGGGGAAGCATCGAGATACCGCTGAGCCAATAGAGGCCAAACTCGCTGGCTGAGTCAGGACTGATGGCACGCACCAGTACCGGTAGGGAACAGAGACTGGTAGAATATCATAGGGGGACGCACAATGGACCAACAGTGGTCTAAGTGCATGGGGAAACCCACCCTCTCCAATACAATACAATAATAAAACGCTACTGCTGATTTACACACTTCCCAGTTCACCGCTGCATACACACTAGGATTCTCTGTCTTCAGTAGTCATCTCCTGGCAGTGTATTTCCACACAGAAGAAATCACTTCAAATCACTATGAAGTCTTCTTGCCATTTCTTGTTCAATCACCCTAGAACCTCGGAACTCAACTGAAACTCTGTCTCTTACTAAGCCCTCCATCTTATGACTGACTTGTAAATGCCCTGAATGAATTCTGTCACCTCCTTGGTTATTCTGGGAATCTTGTTATATAGCTGCAGCACAGACCACACAGAAAACACGTCAAGTAGTCTCTATCCACTGTTGTGTGACTTCACTGCCTATGTAGTTTCAGGTTTCAGTGGGATAATGTGGATATAATATCATAACTGACTACCTCTGTGTAATTTACAACATACATTAAGATTTTTCAATTTTGGTGGGAAGATTAGGAAATTTAATGCCTCTAGGTTAAAAAAAGGCTCTAAACATAAATATTAATATCCTACCTTACTTTCAGATATATGAGTTGTGATGGCTGCATTGCTGCTATGGAAGGGAGAAGCATGGGTATTAGCAGGTGCCAGAGGGTATACAAGCAATCTTGCATCTGGGTGTACAGGGAATCTGGAGAACAAAGGGAAATTGAAATTTGATTATGAAGGACATTGAGGGTAGCTCCTGGTATATTACAAGCTACTTTCACAAATGAGTTGTTGTAATATATACTATAATTATTGTATAACTTAAGTACATATTCACAAGAACTTTATGATTTTCCTTTTCAGCCACAAGAGTGGGGTGAGACTAGATCCCTTGGTACTGCAGCCTCAGATGGGACTTCGGCATCAGTGCTGTGATACGGCCTCAACTTGAGACATAACATTCAGTTTCATGTCATAAGCATCCTCTCCACCAAATCCAGGCACATGGACTGCATCATCAGGAAAGCAATTAATCCTCAGCTCCCTCCCAACATGAAGATGGAACACGGCTTCTGTGTAAGCTAGTCACAGAAACTTCTCAACTACTCCCTGAAAGAATTTAGGAAGCGTGCTTTGTAGGAGTTCTCGTGACAGGGTTCTCAACCACGCCATTCAGTTCATGCACACTGCCCTTTTCAGGGCACCCATCTGCCCAAACTTCCTTTACTGATCTTTCAGCAGCAGTGTCATCCTTTCACCCCCACCACCCCACTTACAGCTCTGGTTGCCCTCCAGGCCCACCTACACTCTTGCTATGTTTCTCCAGCATCCTCCCATCTTTCCACTTCTGGAAATGAAGCACTGGTTACTCTTCACCTTGTCCCTGCTGGTTCTCTCTGGGCTCCTAACCTGGCTTGTGTCTGACCATGTTTTCCACATGTGGTTTGTTGCTTGTTCCACTTATTCTTCAATATGAAAGTGGAAGAAGTTGGGCAAAGGGGTCTGGTCACTCACCTCCACCTAGTGCCAAGATTAAGAATTGGTGGAGATATACCTCCACTCCCCATACATTTTCACAGTGTGGAAATTAAACACAGGGAATGTTTTCCTTACAATTAACTGAACAAAGTATTTGTTGAAATGAAAGTTGGAAATGTGTGATGTACAATGAAATGTTATGGCATCCATTTTCAAACCTTTCTTTTGAGTAACCTAATATGCTAGGTTAATTAACTTCATACAAGAAATAGACTGACTGAATAACTAAATCCTTTCGAGAAGCCAGCAGTTGCTCAGCCACTCCAGAAATTCCCAGCACTATGGAACCCAAAGGCTGATTATCATGTTCATAAGATCCTGCCACTGCATGAGCCAGGTCAGTCCCATCAACACTCTCACATCCTATTTGAGATCTACTTTAATATTATCCTCCCATCTACGTCTAGGTCTTCCCAGTTGTTTCTTTTTTTTTTTTACTGTTCCCCCCACTCCAAATTTTGTATGCACTGTTCTTCTCTCTATTTGTGCTACATTCCTCCTGGCCCATCCAATTCATGATTGACTAATTCTCATACTACTTGGCAAAAAGTACAAGGTATGAAGTGCCTCATAATGCAACTTTCTCACACCCTCTATTATTTCATCTCTCTTAGGTTCAAACATTACCCTCAACATTCTGTTCTCAACACCCTCAGTCTATATTCTTCTCTTTACGTGACAGACCAAGTTTCATACCCAATGCATTATATTGTACTGACATGAGGGGATAACTTCCAGTTTCCCCTTAAGCACTCACACCTCTACTGGGTCCAATGTATGCCCCGCTGCAGTCTTACTTGGGTTGAGCCAAAATCCTCTAGTTGCCATACCCATAAAAACTACAAGCAAAATTACAGTTTTGTATATTTTAATCTTTAATAAACTTTTAACTAGTTTTTTTTTCATGTAGTTTTTACATTTTTGGTTCAACAAACAGAATTGTATGATTTCTGAACACTGAAATGAAGACAAATTATTTTAAAGGAATGTAAAGCAAATGTGAATGGTCTGGTGTTGAGCCCCTTCTTCAACAAGTGTACAAAATACAGTAACTGTAAGCAGGCTGCAAACTGATAGTATGGACACAAGAATGAAGGTACCAGGTTCACATGCTGATGGCAGTAAACAGATGAATGACACTGTGCTGCTTGCCATGTCTTATTCCCACTCTTTCATCACCTGCTCATAGTCTTCATCTTCTATGAACGGTCGATCAATTGCTCTGAAACAACAGATAGAGCAGTAAGAAGAAAAGTTTTGGGAACAATTCATGTCAGATTTGGGGCTCTTACAGTGGTAACCATGAAGTGTATTATCTCCAGGAATGTTATGAGGCCATGCAGTCTGGAAGAAGTTCACCAATGGCTCTGAGACATGTACTGCCTCCATCTTTAGGGATGAACGGTAAGCCAAGCAAGCTATGAGCATGATGCAGGCAGCAAGATATGCCACAAAGATTTGCAGGTCACTACTGCCATCTTATCAAGTGATTTGTGATACTTCAGCTAAATCAGTGCATACCTGATCATCATTTCGCCACAGTATAGACATTCAGAGGCAATGATGCTGTCAATGTCCGATTTGACTTGGTCTCGCGCTGATAGTGTTGCTGATCCCATAGATACATTGTCATCTCGTGCTGAAAATGTGGCTAGCTGTCTCTGCAGACAAACATGAGATAGTGTTGTGTAATGGCCTTCCAACATCGAGCTTGTACCAAGCACACTGGTCTAACGACAGCGTTCTACACTTGTATTCAACTGGGACATGTAGCCTGACTAAGGTTTTCATTATTTTCCTCAGCTCCTCCAGGCAACTGTAAGAACAGTATCTTGCTAAGGCAACAACTACTTCATTCCAAATCCTTTCAAATTCGTCATTCGCCAGTCACCCTAATTATTATTATTATTATTATTATTATTATTATTATTATTAGAGGGGGTGGGTTTCCCCATGCACTTAGACCAGTTATTGGTCCATTGTGCGTCCCCTTTTAATTTCTATTGTTGCCATACCCTATCGGTACTGGTGCATGATATCAGCCCCGTTCAGCCAACGAGGTCGGCCCTCGGTACCTGATATTTCCCCCATCTACCAGAGGCATTGGAAACTACTTGGGCGGGAAACTTGTTGCCTAATTTTGCTCAGAGGTCTCCTAGAGACATGAGGATCTTTTACATGCCGTAAATCTACGACACGGGACCCACGGCTTAAAGTCCCTCCCGGAGGACTTGTTCCCTGAATTTTTCCGCCCTTAAAAATTTCACGACCTCCGCCGGGTTTGAACCCGCGTACCTTGAGTCATGAGGTGGGAACGTTACCCCTAGACTACGGAGGCCAGTCACCCTAACACTACACAGTCTACATGCTGAGTGTCACAAAATAAACTAAAAACAAAGGATCACTGATCTCTTCTATGTTGCTTTAACAAAAAGACTATGAAAAACACTGCCTTCTGGGATGTGGCACTGTTTAGGCTGCTGGAAGTTTCCCATTGTTTTGGAGCAACTGCTGCTGTTCAATTGCTGGACTTGCTCATCAAGCCAGAAGATGGGCACTTTATGTTCCACTGAACCACTGGTACACTTCTACCAGACTACACAGTATGTCACATCCCAGATGACAATATTTTGTAGAATCACTTAATGAATAGTGAACTTGAAATGATATGAAGGAAGTGGTCATTACCTAACCTGAGGTACAATTCATTCAATACAGTGACCAGACTGTGGGTTGGATGACCAGGGAATCAGGTGCGACTCTCAGAAGCATTCAGACCAGCTCTGGGTCTCATCCAGCCTTTATCCAGAAGTAAAGCAGCCAGGATGTGATGATGATTTCTACCTCCATCTACTGCCAAGGTTAAGAATGGATGGCACTATACCTCCATTCCCCCATACATATTCACAGCACAGGGACAATGTTACCTTTAGCTGTTACTCCAGACTGTCGTCTGGAGGGACGGAAAAATATCACAGAACTCTTCAGTCAGGATAGTCCCAGGATGTCCCAGCTGTGGCCAAATCAAAAGCATTATTGCTTGGGCCAATTTGCTTGGCCTGCCCTACAAGCATGAAGCTATGGCTATCATCAGCGGAATGTCACCACATACCTGGAGGTCATGCAGTTTGTTCCTCTTGCGTGGTGGTAACATTGGATTGAGTTCAGTTAGCAAGCAGTCAGAGTGGAAGCGGTGACCACAGGGGAACAGATAGAATGGCCGCATTAGCAACTGTAGTTCGCATATTGAACACCCATCTCGTGCCTCTACGAATGCATACCTAGACACACAAACACATATAGGGCTTTAATAAAATGCTACAAATTACCATCATTTCTTTAGCCTAAAAGTGTTGTTTCCTGTGTTACACAATCTACTGTTACTACTGCTGGATTTCTGGACACTGTCTACAGACTGTTTGGCACTGATCACCATGATCGAAGCCTTAGGAATGGCATTAGGCTAAGGTGCATGAACCTTCTTTTGCCATCTGTGAGTGGACATGAAAGTGACAAACACTAGGCAAATGATACAGCAGATACATGGACAAACTTTCATGCTTCTGCACAGTTCATTTCCTGCCATAGCAGTAAATACATTCCATGAATACAGAGACGGCTTTTATAGATGAAGTTTGATTATCTGTACTTCTGTGTCAGAGAAACACAAAGAAAGTGGTAGCTCTGTCCTTTAATTTGTGTATGATTATAGAAAGGAAAATTTCACATACTTCACACACACAGCTAAGGAGATACCTGGAAAATGTTTCAAGTTCTACCATATCCCCATCAATTTGCGTTATCACTACTTCGCTGTCAATAGAATCCTCCACATTAAAGCGAACTGTCCAATTGGTCTACAATATTTTAATTTGTGGTATTCTGGCTATCAACACAACAACAGAAAATAAACCAAGCTAACTGTTTCCATAGGTTTGTTTGTTCTATTTTTAGGATCATCTTCGGGCAGTTTCATTAAATATGTCTCATGTTATTGAAATATTTTAATATGGATCCATATTAGTGTTAATATAATCATAACGCATGTAATTATATGAAATAAACAATTTTATTTACACATAATTATTACTAAAATCATAAAAATTTTAAATTAAAAAAATATAAAATACATGTTTGACCTAATCCTTCCAGCCGCACTAGGCCCTGGGGTTTACTCAGCCTCTAACAGAAATGAGTACCAGGAATTAATTAAATAATTTTCCTGGGGAGTAAAGCACAGCCGGTGCGTAAGGCTGACAACCTTACCGCCATCTTTTAGCCGATTGTCTAGATAATGTGGGACACTCAACATCTCACAACCCTATGGGCCTTCACAGCCTGGTACAAGGATAGCTTTACTTTTTAACTTTTACTCAATACCTGTAATTATTACTAAAATCATAAAAAAAATACTGTAAAATTTAACAAAAATTTTAAGACTGTTATGATTTTAGTAATAATTACATATATTATGATTATAATGATCAACACTAATACGGACCCATATTAGGTTATTTCTGTAAAGTGAGACGTGAAACCGTCTGAAGATGGCCATAAATATGGAACAAAATATGTAGCAGTTAATAAACAAAACCAATGTAAACAATTGGACTGGTTTATTTTTTATACTTGTGTTCATGGCCAGAATACCACAAATCATGACACATAACAGGCTGAAAACATCAAAAATACAGATTTTAGAACTGGAAGTGGACATATGCATGGCACTGTTATCATGTAGGCTCAGAGAAAAAGTGATATGTATTCAACTGCAGGACATCTTGAGAATACTGCAGCAAAGGCAGGAACATGCCGAAGGCTTTCATGTTCACTTGGCCACATGCAATGTTCTCTGTGTGCTGCTTGCTATCTTCACATCCACATACCAACCTGTGAGCTAAGGCTCTTGTTCTTCTCACAACAACCATGTTACCTTGACAACAGTAACTGATAATGAAATGCAACCATGCCATTACCGTCTTCAGTTCCTTTGTCTTCCACTTTACAGCCTACTTAAAACAATATACAGTAAACCCTTGCTAATCAGGCTACAGTTAATCTAGATTGAAATATGATAAGTGAACAATTCTGTTCACAGTTGAGTACATACTTAAAAAAGCATTTGGCATTTAGAGCAAGAGGACGTTCAGACTGTGTTGAGGGCAGCTGGAGAGACTGAAAACACACAAGAACACATCCAAGACTGGCTTGAGCTGGATGAAGGAGACTCTGAATTTCAGCTTCTTGTCTTTTCATAGTTTCTAAATAAAGGCTCTACAGTAATGTGTTTTTATTTATTTTCATCAGCACCATATATACATATTATTAAATTTTACATTTATTTGTATTCTAATTTTTTTTGTCTATTAAGGATATAGTTTGCTCATTAATCTCAATTATTGATGAATCCAGATGACCCCCCCCCCCCTCAATTAATCTGGATTAGCAAGGTTTATTGTACATTAAACTAATTACAAGAACTAAATACTAATCCCTTGTGGGGTAATGATTTACTTGGGGGGGGGGTTACCAAGTTCTCAACATTATCCATGAAGATGCATGACAAATGCCATCAAACATAAGACGTGCCCCACCTTCGGAAATATTAACACGTGAAAAAAATGTCCCTTAGAGTTGAGGTGATACAAAGTATATTTTTTCTAGTTTCTTCTTTAGTTCCATAATTGATTGTGGTGTTGAAACGGTAAAGTTATCCATGCAACAGGCGGTGGAGGCCCACAGGCTCACACATTTTCTAGATGGCACTGAAGTTGTCAGCCTTATGCACTGGCCGCCCTTTACCCCCAGGAAGATTTCTGGTACTCATTTCTGTTAGTGGCTGAGTCAGCCCTAGGGCCATAGTGCAGCTGGAAGGATTAGGTCAACTGAAAAATTCGGTTCCATTATTAACATGTAGAGTGGCCATATTGAGATTAAGCAGTTGAGTACCCATCAGCTTTATACAGTACATCTTAACAGACAACCCCCTCCCACTTCTGCCTTGTGCTGGACTCTTGGCCAAGCAGCAGCAGATGTGGGAGTTACTATCGCACAAACAATGACTCTTTATCAGATAGCGCAATGGTAACACAGCACTACAATGAGACCTTTATCATTGGTTTAATCTTATCAGGTATGCTATTGATATGAATGACGTTAAGCAAGTGGCTGGAAAGTATATGGAAATTCTACTGTCCTGCTATTAATTCAGGGCAACTTCGGTCATAGCGAAAGTCTTGTGCATCTAATTCAGAAACTTACATTCCTTACAAAAACACTGTTAAGCTTTAAGAGGATCACGTCCTAGGAAATAAGAACACATTACCTGGTAGAAGATAACTGCTTCCATCTTCAAGTCTGAAGAATAAGCAAAGCATGCAACAACACAGAAGTGGAGCTTGTTGCTTGCAGCTTTGCTTATACTTATACTGTGAAGATGGAGGCAGTATGTACCCCACAAACACTGCCGAACTTCTACCAGGCTACAGGGCGTTATACCCCAGAAGATAGTAGAATTTCTCTGCAGGTTCTTTTATGACGCTGTCAGTACCCACACCATATGTCAACAGGATGACTGATGAATTAGAAAGGTGGTTGTGGCCTAATTGAGGTATTACCATGGAATCTGCCTAGAAGGACCAAGGAAAATCATGGTAACTCCCAATCAGGACATGTGGTGCCCCAGGTGAGATTCAAACTCAGCACCTCTTGAATACAAGTCTACAGTGTGGCATAGCTAGGATTCCAACCATGCATCTCCAGCATATGAGCCTACCCACTTAGTGGCAGCATTCCTCTTACTGAGGAAGCTCTAGAACTCTTCATACTGAGGTAGCTGTTCGGCCTTTCAATGTGCCCACAAGTCATGCTTGTGCATACTTCACCTGTTCCTGAATGCCTGTATCTCTTCCCTGATGACTTGTGCTGACTTGGTTGCCTCCTCCATCTCTTCCTTGAGATCCTGAATATGCTGATTGTACTCCTGCAAGTAGGTCAACCAAAATAATGTGACAAGTCAACGCGCTGCCAGGCAACAGCTCGATAGACACCCTGTGATACATTTCAACAATAGGACTAATGTTTATAGCTTGTTGCCAGGCAACAGTCAGCGAGCCAAATGGACTGCTACACAGCTATCATGTGACTGGTTTTCTGTGTGGTTCATGCTGCAGGTATATAACAAGATTTCCAGCAGCATATACGAAAGACAGACCCGTCCTCTCATCAGAGAAGGCGCCCGACAGAAACAAGCCCATAACTGTCAAATATAATAATTAATATCTGGGGCTCGACACCAAGACTTACTGACTGACTGACCATTAGTCGCAATGTAACTCTGACTCTGACTCAGACTAACCAAGGCAGTGAGTGACAGAGTTCTGAGTTCTGACTTCTGAATCATTGGTAGGAGACAGCGACAGGAAGTTCACAGAAGAACTGTGAAGACTTAAAGTGTAATCATAAGACTTTATGCATGTGTAATATTTGGAGCAAATTCAAGCACTAGTTCCTGTGTTTTAATTATGTTACCAGGAGAGGTCCAGTGTGCGTAAATCAGTGATAGCACTGTATTAATTTAAACAAAGAGAGACTGTAACCGAAGTGCAAATAAATCCAATCATCCGAATTATAACCCGTCAGTTTGTCACGCATACCACCCTACACGTGTCAATAATCATATTTTGATGTCCATAATATCACAACATTCTAACAAAATGTCACAGTGCTGTGTGACACTCTTGCATCATTTTCAGTAAGTCCTCTGAAGAGTACTACTTTCTGGGATATGACACCTTGCAGTCTGGTAGAAGTATACCGACATCTCAAAGGAGCATATTTGCCTCTATCTTCTAGGCTAAAGAGTAAGCAAAACAAGCAACTGGCAAGATGCCCGCAGGAAGATATGGACACTACATTCCTCTGAAATGCTGATGGGCTTCTATCAGACAACATGACATCATATCCCAGAAAATAATACTTTTCATACTCACTGCTGTAAGAACCTCAAATCCAAAACAGGAAGTCCCATGTCCAAATATGTGACTCAGAACTCTTTTACAGTTCTGATACTGGTGGTGATTGAGTGGGGGGGATGCATGTACCCTCCAGGTAAGACGAGAGAAGGTCTGAGGTTCCTCCTCCTGTGGGGGACTTGTATTCAGTCACTTCCTACTTACGTTCATCACTGCGTCAAGTTCACTTTAACTAGTTTAATTATATTATTGATTAAACGTTCATGAATTAAAGTTAAATTTTATTATAGATTGCACTTTTTCACTTTTGGAGGTCTTGTTGTTCTACTCCAAAAGTGAAAAAGTGCAGTCTATAATAAAATTGAACTTTAATTCATGAACGTTTAATCAATAATATAATTAAACTAGTTAAAGTGAACTTGATGCAGTGATGAACGTAAGTAGGAAGTGACTGAATACAAGTGAAAGTAAAAGCATAACAAGTGACCTGAATTGAAATTCGATTCACAAACTTTAAATTCTTTTTTAAACAATTTTAAATTTAAATTTTAACTTTTGACTTTTAGAACAATTTTAACTTGTTTTATGAGAGGAACTTGATACATTATTGAGCGTGAGCCTGAATAAGATACAGGATCGAATAAGTGAGAAGACGAATGTGATTGCGTGTAATTATACAACTGTGTTCGTACACCTGAGGATGACCTCTTGAGGTCGAAACATGTAGTGTAATAATAATAAAAATATGTTGTGTGGTCGGTAAAACTGACTCTAATATTGATTAAATACACAACAGGATGCAAGAAACGATTAAAGTTCCTCTGAAATGTTTGTAATGATGTACCAGAGAGCACAGCACACCACATGGGAGAGGCCAGTAATTTTCAGAGGTTAGATGTTACCTGAAGAGAAGTGCATATGGCATCCTTGAAGTGGTCAATGGTGACAAAGTCTGAGAAGAAGGGTAGGATGTCTTCAATCTTGATGAGGTCACACTGCTGCAAGAACTGCATCGCCTGCTGGATGTCATCCTTCTCCCTCACCACATGTTTGGCTGCACAGACACAGTATGACACTGCAGGTGATCAGTGACATTGTGATCTTGGTTGTGACATCGTTTTGTCTTGTGGGTGGACATAAACATTTCAGAGGAACAAGATGCTTCCATCTTCAGGGTTGAAGTATGTAGAAGGTAGAACTGTTTTGATTATATAGGCAGGGTTCCAGGAAGGTGATCGCTTGGGTCAATGGCATGGGGATAAAGGCCAATGGGAACAGTAAGTAGAAAACAACCCTCTTCAGGGGAAACCCATATTTTTCATAGCATGAGTAAGCAGAATTGCAGGGAAAGATGGCCTCTTTCAGGGCCAAAATAGCTCTGTGTCCCAATTCCACTTCTCCTGTGATAAAAGACAATATTGAACTCCAAGAAAGGGCCATTTTCCTACTGGCTCAGACTGGGCTGCCCTTCCTTGCCATATTTCCGGGCATCTGAGCAACCATCCACCCCACAGTCTGGTTACATAACCAAGCAAATTCTTCACCCAACACACTTCAACATTGAGCATGGAGGCAGCATGTTCCTCTGACATGTAGGTATCTGCTTACAGGGCTATGAGGTGTCACAACCTAGAAGATCATAATCCAGAAAACGTCAAAATACATATACCGGTATATAACGCAAACAAGGATCTAATGCACGGTAAACTCTACACGTTCTCAAATCCGCTACACATCTCGTGTGTGCCTACATTTGGCCCACACTGGGATCACAAGTACACGCAGAAAACAGCAGAACAGAGGACTGTGACCAGGCTTCTTCAGCCCAAACCCTTTGTTCTGGTGGCCAACACCAACCAACTAGAACCGCCCTCTTCAGAGTGTTTGGAATGATTATGGTGCCGCGGCCACCACCAGTACTACTCGTATATATTATAATTAAATTCCGTTAAGTTTTTTCAACTGTGAATGGCCTATAACAGGAGAGCACTGAAATAATAATAATAATAATAATAAATACTTTTTCAATTCACATGTTTACTCAGTAGCCCAAAGGCAATGATGGAAACATGCACACACAAACCATAAAACGAAGTAACTTGTGTCATTTACAAATTAATAACAATTCAGTACGTATTATCATGTATCCTGTTAATGTGACAAGTAATTAATGGGTTCTCTGCATTGATGAATCAATTTATTGGACAATCACCAGGAGGATCTACAAATATTTATAACACTTCAAAATCTTACTGGAACAATAACATACAAAGTCTTCAACATTTCCAATCTTAGATGCTCCTTGTACGAATTCAGTGAGCAGGTCTGTACCCAGTCTCCTCTCGGACTGGACTTCTGCTACTTGGTAGGACCCTCCAGTGTATCATCTTGTCTTCTGTATTCTTCTTCTGGTTAGTTCTGTCGATCTAAGCTGGCTTCACGCCGACCAGATATGAAACACTCCATGCAATGGTACAATTCTTCGTTTTTGCGGTTGTCATCGAAAAGTCTTTCGTTACTGTGTTAATAATCTTTACCTAGCCGTTGCAATGGAAACGTTTCTGAACATGTGACCTAGAATTGATGTATCTGGCTTAACCTCGGAGACGTGTTTCAACAAGCCGCTACCTAGCAATGGACTCACATGTCATAATACAATAGTGACCGCCCTTATGCGGAGTGGGAAAAATATATATACGTACATTCATACTGAGTTCAATTAATATGTTAATAATACACTATGATTAATAAATAGCAATAATAATAATAATATTGTGGAATGTAGGCTCGTTGCTAAGCGGTGACTCTGTAATCAGCAACCGTTTCTGAGCAACGGCTCGGTAAACACGATTCCGTTGTTAGGCACCAGATTCTTAATAATGCAACTTTTATACTACACCAATCGAAACGGGGTGTTTCTACGTGGGCCGTGCCGAAATGTTACAAGGGACAAAGTCAGCTGAGAGTTCAGTTGAGTTCAGCATGGGAGGCTATGAAGACGGAATCTGAGCGCGTGAAGCTGAAGAATCTCCACTGTTACAAGCCGTTGCCAGGGAACGGCTGTTGAAGACACAGCAGGCTGGGAAGGTTTACCGGGTGCTGTGGTGATTTGTGAATTGTGGAGATTTGCGGTGGAGCTGTAATTGCTTGCATTTACGAGTTGTGTGTATAAGTGGTCAATAAATCCATTCAAAATCGAAATCCCGTCTATAGTCACACATACTACGTGACAATACTAATACTAATAGTCATAGTACTACTACTACTACTACTACTAATAATAATAATAATGGTTCAGTATAGTGAATAGGCTGCGGGTCGACGACCGAAGAATAATAATTTGATTTCGGACGGGTGAAAGGATTTTTCCTTCTCGACAGCATTCAGACCAGCTCTTGGGGCCCACCCAGTTTCCTATATCAGGCATGTCCAACGCGTCGATCGCGGGACGATATTTGGTCGATCTCATACGAAAGGAAGGAAATTATACGTGAAAAGCATGTAAATTCACTTGTAATATAATATGATTA